TCTTAATAAAATAGGATTAGTGTCAGAATGAAATGGATTACATTAGAATTTAATAAATGAGAAAAGTTGAAACGATATACTCTTTGATGATCAATGAGTTTTGGCACATATGGACAAACTAGTGACAAAAATTAATCCCAACTTCACATTAACAGATAATCTTGCAACATAAACAAGACAAAATCCAAAAACGAATGAATAGATAGGATTCAACCATTTACTGTGTTCATATATGTAGCAATTGGCCATTTAATTCAAGTCTGGATGATAGTTTTTTCTGAAAAGATACGAATTTACAATCACGAACGGGGTATTTTTTAGAATCAATATTCTATAATGAAGTGTATTTTTTAAATTTAAATCTTAAATAAAATAAGATTAGTGTCAGAATGAACTGGATTACAAATTACAATTAAAAAAAGAAATGAAGGAACGGTATACTTTTTTATGATCAATATTTAATCGTGCTGAGTCTTGGCCCATATGGACAAACTAGTGACAAAAACAAATGCCAACTTAATTGACATTAAAAGATAATCTTGCAGCAGAATTAGCAAGACATATAGGTTATTGCAAATAATATCGGACATACAGTAAGTGAAGATGTGATGATTGGATATTGTTCCAGATTATATAAGAATTGCATCATTGACATTAATGTCTTGTTTTTATAACATTTTTGATATAATTACTAATCTCCCTCCTTGATCATGTAAATTACTAAATTAAATAATTTTAGTAATAAAGTAAAATATAAGATTTTATTAGCAAAGTTGTTTTAAAACTGAATGTGTAATTTCAAGTCAATCTGCTATTACACGTTGAAGGTTATTGTTTTGGAAATATTTTGAAGTTATGAAATACTTGTATATGTTTAGGTTCAATTATATCAGGTGACAATAGATTAATTAAATAATACCACCTTTTGAAGTAAGAGTAAAATATAAGCTTGCATTCGCGAATGCAACTAACAGCTAGCGACTACCGGATTAACCTACTATTTTATGACCAATTCATTTCAATATGAATGGAATAGTGGCAGGTACTATTCATGTTCAAATGAGATGCCTATGAAATAGTAGATAAATCTGGTAGCCGACGGCGTTTGTTGCATTTGCGAATACAAGCTAATACTGGTATCATAGTGTATTATATTGCACAAATAATCAAATCGAGTTAATGTAAAAAGGAATTAAAATGTATATATTAAATAGTAAACTAATTAATATGTATAAAAACACCCTTGTTATACACTGCTTTGACCCCTATACTCATAATTGAAATACTAGATCGTATTTATTCTACTCTTATTAAGGTTTATGTTATTCAAGTGCAATTATCTCCACTTATAACACATTTATATTTTATAATAGAATTGACTCCATATTCTGCACATTCTTAGCTATACAACGACACCAAATCTCTGTTCTGCCAAAGGTGAACCTGTTATAAAAATCAGACAATCGTTACTGAACTAAGTTTACATTGTTCCGGTAGTGTTGATTTAATGACTTAATTTGCACAATTACTGTTTACAAGTCATAAATTAAACAAAAATAACTGATAAGGTATATTTAACTCCATTTAAGTACATTAAATACTACCAAATGAGCCACGCCCCTTTCAGAAATATTGAATAATTTGAAAAAGACAAGAGAAAAAACGCCCAACCTACCACATCTGCATATGTGTGGCTTTTGACCAGGACATATCTAACTATCTAAAAATGCAATAAAACATTGTATATACACTAAAACAAGGTTCAGTGATAAATCCTTTGTTTTCATCTAGAATATAAATTGATTGACCGAAGAAAATGTTTCTTTTATTCTTCTTGTTTGGCTTTCTGATTGGAATGTTATTTTAGCTTTTTATTCTAAGAAAGTCATCTGCTTTAAATACGCTGTGAATACAGAAATGAAGGCAGCAGATAGTACATGGTAAGACAAATATTCCAGTCGAAAGTTAACTTGCTACTTACTAGTAACTAGTTACTCTTTTTCCAGTTGAGATGAAGCTCATCGTAGCGATAGTTCTGCTTGTCCTCATTGAAGCTTGTATCTGCAGTCATAAAAGAGGGCGATTTAGGTGGGAGAAGAGAGGCAAAAAAATCTCCAAAAATAGTAGTAGCAAGAAATCCAAACATAAAGACAGTCGACATAGTGGAAGTAGCAGCAGTAGCAGCGAGGAGCGTTAGTAATATGTTATTTATTATTGATAAAGTGAAACTTATGTGATTAATAATGTGTGATTATGTGAAGAATGAACCTTGAGTACTGGGTATTAGGTGAAATAATGTCCAAGGGCTGCATCAAGTAGTATAGTATATTTTTACTTAGATATGTGCGATCAAGTATGCAACGAGGATAGATATTAACAGTCCTATAAAAACAATTTTGAAATTGCATTTACAGTTTGCGACCATCTATTCGCTCCCACAAATGGAACTTTTGAAATTAGCGGCAGAACTCTCGGAGCGCTGGCATTTTTCATATGCGATGAAGGGTTTGTTTTGACTGGAGACCAAATTCGGAGATGTACAGAGACCAGCGGGGGAAACTTGGAATGGAGTGGATCCGATGTAACATGTGAACGTAAGTTTACTGATAATCGTATTTCAAACAACCTACATCCAAATGTGCAACCGTTTTTTGGATTTAAATATGTTTAATGTTATAATGGAGTTTTTTTATTCATAGAATTTATTTTACAAATACATAACATACATAAACATTATACATTTGAAGTGGCTTTGCTGAAGGCATTATCAGCCACTCGATTAATAATTGCAGGGTGAAGAAAAAAATATAGAATTAAGAATGAACTAAAAAATGATGAAGTGAGCTTGAGGATTTTCAAATTAGTGGATTTTGTTAAGTTTGAATCCCCATAAAGAATGATAAAGAAATAATTCTGCTTTGTCCCTCTTGTGTTTAAAATTAGAATAACAAAATTAAGAAAAGCTTAATTGTTTTCCAACTCTTCTAAGAATGGTGAACGAATAGTAGGCGGGTTAACTACATTTTAGGGGGTCTGAAAATCAAGCTATGATGCAAACGATACATGGACGGACAAGTGAGTGATGGCAAAAGATCACCATCATGACAATGCGAGCAAAGAAAAACACAACAAAACATTGGTTCTTCCATTGAAATTTTGTTTCTGAATTTATGTTTATGTTTTAAATAGCCGTCGCGCTTTGTGATGAATTGGAGGCATTATATAATCAACAACGCACCCTTGCTAATAAACCTGGACCAATTTTAGATTTTAGTGAGAAAGATATTGTTTCAAGTGACACTGAATAAAATAGTTGGCAATATGTGAAAGAATTTCAGTCCCGGACTCATGCATTGTTTCCTAGACTTTAATGCCTTGAGTCTTCTTCTCAAATTCTTTAGCATGTGTAATAAAACCATTCGTAATTGTGTTAATCCATTTTACAAATATCTAAGCACGAGAGCCAAAGGGAAAGGACTAAAATTTGTAATAGCAACCTCTAAGTGTATATCCCAATATATCCCAAAACCATGATTTATCGTAAAAGATCTAATACTACCTTTCCTAAGCATTCAAGAACCAATCATTCAAGAACCAATATAACACAATCCAAGACCATAACACCAAGGAATATTTTATTCATCACTGAAGTCGTTACAATACAGTTTGAAAAAAAATAGACACTGATAGCCAAAACTTATTACTACTAACATAACATCAAAAGTAGTTAAAGACACAAGTTCCCATAGAAGATATAACATTCAGTCTCAAATGATTTGAGATAGACAAAACCAAGTCTTAAAGTCCATAGGCATTTCCAAGGGTCAACATCTATCCGAAAAGCCGTCGCCATAATTCATAAATAAAGCTACTAAATGGTTCACAAATGAATTTTGCGAGACAAAATGGCGGCCATTTTGAAAATAGTCGAGCTTTTGAACCAGGAGTAATAGAGGAATTTTCTGTATTGATGTTGAACAGAAATAACTTAAAACGGGAATCCTATAGAGAGCGGTTTTAAAACTCGCAGGCAGACAGCCGGACAAATGAGTGATGGCAAAAGCTTACTATGTGAGCAAAAACACAACAAAACCCTTGTTTATCCATTGAAATTTTGTTTCTGAATTTATGTTTATGTTTCAAATAGCCGTCGCGCTTTGTGATGAATTGGAGGTTCCTGGAAATGGATCCCTTGTCGTCAATAAGAATACAGCATTTCATACAATTGCATTGCATTATATAATCAACAACGAACCAACTCTCATTCACCCGGGCTATTTTTAGATTTAAGTGAAATTGACTACATTAAAATTACAGTTGAGTGAAAATCTATAAAAGATATTATAGGGAATAACAAGCAAGATCCTTATGCAGGTCACGGATATCAAGGTTTTGTACTTCATGTTAGTGTTGATCTTGTTTAATCCTTGCTGAAAGGTTCCTTGCAAATACATTGCTTTAAATGATATTGAATAAAATAGTTAGCAATATGTCACACCGACTTTATATCCCCGATAACATAATAACATGAAATTTTGGGCGTGGTTCACCATCGTAAAAAGTAGCTCTAATAAGGTAATAATCAAAACCGAGTAATATAAAGCCATTTCGTGACCACCTTGAAATAGCCAATACACTTTGCAATTAACTGGAAGCTCTTGATATATGGATCTCTTGAATAACTAAAAGAACCACAGAATAATAACGGGTATTTTTCTGTTTTTTTCATCAGGAATTGTTTATACTGTGAACAAAATAAATGTAAGTTGTTGATTTGTTAACCTATATTGGCATTTGAAAGGATGTTAATTTGTATTTTGTTCTTTACATAAATGTATATATATATGACCGAATCTACATTTAAATAGTTGTAGACTGTGGCATTCCTCCAGGAAGTAACGGCCTAAATATTTCTTACAATATGACAACACTTGGATCAACGGCATACTTCAGCTGTTCTGCAGGCAAGCTTTTACTAGATGGGGACCCCATAACGTGTCTTCCTAGTGGGGAATGGAGTAGTTCGGCTGCATCTTGTTGTGCAATCAGAGGTGAGATCACTCACTCTTTATTTAATTAAAGTGAACCCTATAACGTGTCTCCCTAGTGGGGAATTGAGTAGTGCGACTGCACATTGTGCAATCAGAGGTGAGATCACTTACTCTTTATTTGATTAAAGTGAACCCTATAATGTGTCTCCCTAGTGAGGAATTGAGTAGTGCGACTGCATCTTGTTGTGCGATCAGAGGTGAGATCACTCACTCTTTATTTGATTAAAGTGAACCCTTTAACGTGTCTCCCTAGTGAGGAATTGAGTAGTGCGGCTGTATCTTGTTGTGCAATCAGAGGTGAGATCACTCACTCTTTATTTAATAAAAGGGAACCCTATAACGCGTCTCCCAAGTGGGGAATTGAGTAGTGCGACTGCATATTGTTGTGCAATCAGAGGTGAGATCACTCACTCTTTATTTAATTAAAGGGGACCCTGTAACGTCTCTCCCTAGTTGGGAATTGAGTAGTGCGACTGTACATTGTGCAATACAGGTGAGATCACTCACCCTTTATTTAATAAAAGGGGACCCTATAACGTGTCTTCCTAGTGGGGAATTGAGTAGTGCGACTGCATATTGTTGTGCAATCAGAGGTGAGATCACTCACTCTTTATTTAATTAAAGAGGACCCTATAACGTGTCTCCCTAGTGGGGAATTGAGTAATGCGACTGCATATTGTTGTGCAATCAGAGGTGAGATCACTCACTCTTTATTTAATTAAAGGGGACCCTATAACCTGTCTTCCTAGTGGCTAGTGGGGAATGGAGTAGTGCGACTGCTTCTTGTTGTGCAATCAGAGGTGAGATCACTCACTCTTTATTTAATTAAAGAGGACCCTATAACCTGTCTTCCTAGTGGCTAGTGGGGAATGGAGTAGTGCGACTGCTTCTTGTTGTGCATTCAGAGGTGAGATCACTCACTCTTGATTTAATTAAAGGGGACCCTATAACGTCTCTCCCTAGTGGGGAATTGAGTAGTGCGACTGCACATTGTGCAATAACAGGTGAGATCACTCACCCTTTATTTAATAAAAGGGGACCCTATAACGTGTCTTCCTAGTAGGGAATTGAGTAGTGCGACTGCATATTGTTGTGCAATCAGAGGTGAGATCACTCACTCTTTATTTAATTAAAGAGGACCCTATAACCTGTCTTCCTAGTGGCTAGTGGGGAATGGAGTAGTGCGACTGCTTCTTGTTGTGCAATCAGAGGTGAGATCACTCACTCTTTATTTAATTAAAGAGGACCCTATAACCTGTCTTCCTAGTGGCTAGTGGGGAATGGAGTAGTGCGACTGCTTCTTGTTGTGCATTCAGAGGTGAGATCACTCACTCTTGATTTAATTAAAGGGGACCCTATAACCTGTCTTCCTAGTGGCTAGTGGGGAATGGAGTAGTGCGACTGCTTCTTGTTGTGCATTCAGAGGTGAGATCACTCACTCTTGATTTAATTAAAGGGGACCCTATAACGTCTCTCCCTAGTGGGGAATTGAGTAGTGCGACTGCACATTGTGCAATAACAGGTGAGATCACTCACCCTTTATTTAATAAAAGGGGACCCTATAACGTGTCTTCCTAGTAGGGAATTGAGTAGTGCGACTGCATATTGTTGTGCAATCAGAGGTGAGATCACTCACTCTTTATTTAATTAAAGAGGACCCCATAACCTGTCTTCCTAGTGGCTAGTGGGGAATGGAGTAGTGCGACTGCTTCTTGTTGTGCATTCAGAGGTGAGATCACTCACTCTTTATTTAATAAAAGGGGATCCTATAACGTGTCTTTCTAGTGGCTAGTGGGGAATGGAGTAGTGCGACTGCTTCTTGTTGTGCATTCAGAGGTGAGATCACTCACTCTTGATTTAATTAAAGGGGACCCTATAACGTGTCTTCCTAGTGGGGAATACTAGAGAAGTGCGGCTGCTTCTTGTTGTGCGATCAGAGGTGAGATCACTCACTCTTTATTTAATAAAAGGGGATCCTATAACGTGTCTTTCTAGTGGCTAGTGGGGAATGGACTAGTGCGACTGCTTCTTGTTGTGCATTCAGAGGTGAGATCACTCACTCTTTATTTAATTAAAGGGGACCCTATAACCTGTCTTCGTAGTCACCCTATGCTTAGTGAGCGGACCTAATTTCAAGGGTGATGGTAAAGACGAGGCATGGCGCCCAAAAACCAAAGAATATTAGTACCATAATCTTTTAAGTCGTATTATTGCAGCATTAGGTGATGATATTGTGATATTTTATGCTGTTTTAGAAGTGAAAGATGTTAAACTATGCATACCGTTTGTTTTACATCCAATAAAATGAATAGTTAAGATGAAACAGTCGTTTAAACATACAATTTGAATTTACCGCAAGAAATTACAACCTAATATTGTCAATATGTCAATAATTCCTGATCGATGTCACATATAAAGATATATGTACCTAGATATGTTTTATTTTTTCATATATGCGAAATAAGGCGGTCTCTAGTTATGTACATCCAATACAAAATGAATGTTTACTATTCGGCGATCAGAATTTCGATGACGAGCAATGGCGATGTAATTTGCGAAGAGGAGTGGCTATGGGCAAGCACTAAGCTGCTACGTGTACTGCTAAATTCAGCTAAAATGTACACTGTCAATTAATAAATTAATGAATTAGGGCAAGGTTGTCATAGGCTTCAATCAATGGTAAAAACTTGCAAAACATGTAGTCACTTGATTTTATGATTTATCAAAAAGTGTTGGTTGTTGAACGAATAAATAGAATAACTTAAAAGAATTTTAAAATTGTATAAATGGTAACTGGCCCACACTTTTTATGTCCCCACCACATAGTGTGGGGCCATATTGTCGGCCTAGACGCGTCCGTCCGTCTGTCTGTCCGTCTGTCCGTCTGTCTGTCCGTACGTCCGGCAGTTTTCTCCAAAACCGCTACAGATATCACCTTCAAATTTTCAGGGATAACTTATGAGTGCATACAGATGTGGATGAAAAAAAATTAACTCGAAACCTACTTCCTGTCGGCCATTTTGAAGTCGAATGCTAAAATCCTTGTCTGCAAACTTTAAGAAAAACTGCTTCACAGTTGCTTTTAAAACTTTAACATCTTGTTCAGCTCACTTCATTCTAGATCTGATTAGGTTTTGGACCTGCTAGCTCAGTCATGTCAGCCATTTTGAATGTCTTAAGAAAAGTTAGCGCGCGATAATACTTTGTATCATATTGAATGGTGTTTTTGAGTTTTCATACTTTAACTATTTAGTAGCTTTATAAATAATTTCAGATGTACTTTGCTGTAAAAGCCTACTTTATTGTTAACAGTAGTTATATGTGATAATTTTGTAAAAAGAAATCAGCAAAAACTCATAAGGACTTTTTTATTGTCGGCCATTTTGGATTTTTCGGTCCTAAAATCTTGTCTGTGAAGTCTTGTCTGCGCGTTTTCAGGTGAACCGTTTGGTGGATCAATTTCAAATTTTCAGGGATGATTTTTAGTATAAAAATCTAGATCTCATTAGTTTTTTGGCATTCTGGGTAAATGTCAAGGCAGCCATTTTGGATTTTCCGTCCTAAAATCTTGTCTGTAAAGTCTTGTCTACTCGTTTTCAGGTGAACTGTTTCATAGATCAATTTCAAATTTTCAGGAATGATTCTTAGTATGAAAATCTAGAACTGATTAGTTTTTTTGCATTCTGGGTAAATGTCAAGGCAGCCATTTTGGATTTTCCGTCTTAAAATCTTGCCTGTAAAGTCTTGTCTACGCGTTTTTAGGAGAACGGTTTGATAGATCAATTTCAAATTTTCAGGGATGATTCTTTGTATGGAAATCTACATCTGATTACTTTTTTTGCATTTTGCGTAAATGTTGAGGCAGCCATTTTGGATTTTCTGTCCTTAAATCTTGTCTGTAAAGTCTTGTCTACCCGTTTTCAGGTGAACCGTTTGGTAGATCAATTTCATATTTTCAGGGATGATTCTTAGTATGAAAATCTACAAACAGATTAGTTTTTTGACATTCTTGGTAAATGTCAAGGCAGCCATTTTGGATTTTCCATCCTGAAATCTTGTCTGTAAAGTCTTGTTTACATGTTTTCTGGTTAACTGTGTGACGGATCAATTTCAAATTTTCATGGGTGGTTCTTAGTATGAAAATCTAGAACTGACTAAATTTTTGGCATTCTGGGTAAATTTTAAGGTGGCCACTTTGGATTTTCCGTCCTCAAATTGTGTTGGTAAAGTCTTGTCTACTCATTGTAAACTAAGGACTACAGAGTTCTTGGTTAAGTTTGTTTCTTTATTGTCTTAATATCATAATAAAAACCCTGGAACATACAAAAATAAAAGAGTTACAATTCAGATCTATGACTTACAAAAATGACAAGATCGTAATGAAATAAACGTATTTACTGTATACTGTTATGAACTGATTGAGACATATTTTATATGTCTAGCTAAATCTTTGTACATATATGGACATCTGAGTAAGTCTTTAAATTGTACATATATGGCAATCTTACATTATATAGCACCAAACATGTCAAACAGATCCTAGCTTAGAAAACCTACCCAGGAACTACACTGCACTAGTATCTCCTGTAGACCATGGGGTTGATAGAACACCTATATAACATCTGGTCTTGATCAACACTAGAATGAAATGAAGGAGTTCAAAATATGACTTACAAACACTCTTAAATCATGTAACAAATCACAAAATCAACACAAATTGAATATCTTTCCATACAGAAATTACAAAAAATATTAAATCCTAAAAAATCTCATCAATGCTAAATAACATGCAATCTAATCTGTTTTCTTCATAAAGTCAAGTTTGAAATATAATAAATCCAACCATACCTGACTTCATTAAGGGTTTTCTACCTAAACTTAGGTTATTGATGTAGAAACGAGTGAATTTCTACAAGAAATTCAAAAATCAAATTTGGAAACATGCCTTTTATCCAAGATGGCCGACCTACTCTCTTAACCAATGAGATTGCGTAAAAAGTAATTTACAGCGGGAAGTTTAAACACATAAAAGTTTCAAACTATTTAGCTTGGTTACATCATTTTCAAGATAACCATTTCACGGGATCACCACTTGGTGGGGACATTTTGTACACATTTGTGTTCTTGTTAACAAATGTTGACAAAGTCATAAAAAATCAGACGCATGACAGATGTAGTCAGAGATTGTTGATGTCAAAGGTTGTTAACATGGCAGGTGTATTCAGAAATTGTCAACATAATAAATGAAGTCAGACTTTATTTACATGACAAGTGTAGTTAGAGGCTGTTAACATGGCAGATAGAGTCAGAGATTGTTAACATGACAGATGTAGTCAGAGATTGTTAACATGACAGATGCAGTCAGAGGTTGTTAATATGACAGATGAAGTGAGAGGTTGTTAACATGGCAGATGTAATCAGAGGTTGTTAACACTGCAGATGTAGTCAGAGGTTGTTACCATGGCAGATGTAGTTAGAGGTTGTTAACATAACAGATGTAGTCAGAGGTTGTTACCATGACAGATGTAGTGAGAGGTTGTTACCATGACAGATGTAGTAAGAGGTTTTTAACATGGCAGATGTAGTTAGAGGTTGTTAACATAACAGATGTAGTCAGAGGTTGTTACCATGACAGATGTAGTGAGAGGCTGTTACCATGACAGATGTAGTGAGAGGTTGTTAACATGGCAGATGGAGTAAGAGGTTTTTAACATGGCAGATGTAGTTAGAGGTTGTTAACATAACAGATGTAGTCAGAGGTTGTTACCATGACAGATGTAGTGAGAGGTTGTTAACATGGCAGATGTAGTCAGAGGTTGTTAACATGGCAGATGTAGTCACAAGTTTCTGCACTGTGGGATAAACTTTTGTCAGATTAATTTTTCTGAGACAACATAATCACTGTTAACACATTGTGTAAATTGTTTATTGATCAGGTGGTGTATTATTTCATCAAAGTCTTTTGATTTTCCGTGACAGTAGTAACACTGGAATCCCACATATCTGAAAATAAACAGGATAAATGTAATCCCTATTCCACGGCTCGTCCAAACATGCTTTTATTACCATAACCATTGCTCTTCCTCTCGAGGAATCAAAATCTCCTGATTTGACTGCAATTACGGCTCAAATTGGGAAATGGATGGGTTTACGATATAAATACGTTCATCAACAATAATTACATGCAATATCAAGGAATTCTATGCAGGAGAAGTATCATTATTTTGAAAATAATCGAAAAAAAAATATGCAGAAAATTAATTTTTCTTTTCACATCACTTCGTATCCGTTTCACATATAAGTATGAATCTTTCTTACATTACAAATCTAATTATGGGCATCTGAAGCATCAGTGCACCTAGTTACAGGCCAGCACAAGGCCAATAAAGAGTAGAACTTAGAGAAATAAACTTACTGCTGGTCCGCCATAGTTAGGTTTGGGCGCCCTGCCTCGTCTTTACCATCACCCTTGAAATTAGGTCCGCTCACTAAGCATAGGGTGGTAGTGGTTAGTGGGGAATGGAGTAGTGCGACTGCTTCTTGTTGTGCATTCAGAGGTGAGATCACTCACTCTTGATTTAATTAAAGGGGACCCTATAACGTGTCTTCCTAATGGAGAAGTGCGGCTGCATCTTGTTGTGCGATCAGAGGTGAGATCACTCACCTTTTATTTAATAAAAGGGGACCCTATAACGTGTCTTCCTAATGGAGAATGGAGTAGTGCGACTGCACATTGTGCAATCAGAGGTGAGATCACTCACTATTTAATTAAAGGGGACCCTATAATGTGTCTTCCTAGTGGAGAATGGAGAAGCGCCACCGCATCTTGTCTTCCACTAGAAAATTCAGTTTATGTTATGCTGGATTGAAATTCAACCGAATCTTGCTTGCGCAAAAAACCACGTGGCAAACCTTTTACATACTAAAGGGACAATGTCGCCTAGGTCTGTCTCCCAGACAATCATTGACACTGTTCTATAACTAGTTATTTGACGGAGCGAGCGTCACTGTAACAAAATGGATGAGCTTCCTGGATACGAGTTTTTTGTTTTCTCGATTTAAACTTACGTATAAGTCATGTTGCAGATTATCATTTGGCACAAAGTTCGACCATAAAGTCTAGTTTTGAAAAATGCTCTCAGTTTGGAATTGGATTTTTAAATAAAGCTGCAATTCGTGCATTTAGACCATCGCTTTTGTAACATTGACGTAAGTCGTCAAAGTAACATACATTGGTACACTGATTGGTAATAAAACGGACTTTCGTCAATGTAACAAAAGCGAATGAGAGACTCGTAACCAGGAAGTTCATTTTGTTACATTGACGTTACGTCAAATTAAGTTGTTGTGGAACAGTGATTGAAGTCGAACTATAATTGCTCATATAATATCTTTCATACCTAAGATATATCTTGAGAACATATTGAAGGCACAGTATCACCGATATATTGAGAAAATCAACAGAACAACCAACTGTCGGATAAAACACAATAAGTCCAAATCAACAAACAACTGTTTAAGCTTAATCTATATTATGAAACCCTTGAAAGTAATAACCAAGTGTTATGTGGAAAGATAACCAAAAATGTGTTGTGGTTCAAAAACAAAAAAAGAAATTTCAATTTCATTTAGATATCTGTAATTTAATATCTGTAAACAATCATCAAACTAATCACATTATGAATTAGTTGAGGCCTCAAAGTTTGTATTAGATAGACCAATTCCTTATAAATACAGCCAAAGCATCAAGGGGCTACTCTAATTGTGCTTTTATCAGACACTGTACCTTTTATATTGATGATGCTATTGAGACAATCGATACGGTGGGGCCACCAAACATTTCATGGGGTGGTCCAAAAACAATTGGAACATTTGTTAATTGAATGGAAAACCTTTATTTTTCTTCTAAAATGCACCAAACTTTTACTGAGCACAGTTCAGTCACTTATTTATCTGATGTAAAGTTTATAGGTGAAAACCACAAAGTTAATGCATTAAACTAGTCAATGTTTGATATGACCCCTCTTCTCCTGACTTACAAGTTGAAGCCTGGGGCTTAGATTTGTAAATACTCAATTAGTTTACTGTTCATTTGTTTTGTCCAAGCCATCTTCATTAAAAATTCAGCTTGATCAAACTTCCTATTTGTTTGCCTTGGAAGATCAAATCTAGTAGCATATTCAAAAAGTTTTACCCAAATTCATGGGATCAAGCATATTTTGATGGCTATTGTTGAGTGTATTACTGATTGAATATTCTCCAGAAAGAGGCCAGGACTGTCTGATTTGACTGGTAAATGAAGCCCCTTCCCCTTTATTGTTCTGATATGAATAATATTCATTGGGAATATCAATATGTCTATCAATATCATAGAGGAGTCTCCCAGAACACAAATGGTATATATATTATACACTGTATATGTGCTTAGCATTGGTTTTTAATAAAACTTTGTGAATAACTGGTCAGTTTTGCCTTTACTGAAAAGTGGGAACAATTCTTTTGTCACTTGAGTAGCTGAGAGGGTTATGCAATCGCTCACCATTGACATGTTCCTTCTTCCCTACTCTTAAATGAAAATGATAATTTTGGGTATTGTTTAAGTTTAAGTTAACACAAAGTAAATACCCTTTGTCAACTGAATATGATTTTATAAAATATTTATACCAATTAACATGTGCTTTGAAATAAATAATACTTGAAAAAGTAGCCGCGAAATTGACAGGTGTATATTTAAAAAAAGGGGGTCCTATCAAAGATTGACTAGTTAAATGCGTTAACTTTTTGGTTTTCACCTATAAACATCAGATAAATAAGTGATTGAACTATGCTCAGTAAAAGTTTTGTACATTTTAGAAGAAAAATAAAGGTTTTGTGTTCAATTAACAAATGTTCCAATTTTTTTTGGACCACCCTGTATATGTTGCACAAGAAACATTTAAAGAAATCTAGTACTAGTTGAGATGATTTGTGTTGTGTTGACTTTTGGTTGAGGTTGTTACGCGGCAAACACGATACAAATATATGTAATATTCCGCAACGAATATGGCTTATTCACTTGCGAAGTGTGACATATTCACCTGCGGTATATGGCATACTCACTAACCAATGAGAACAGAAAACGGAAGTACGTAATTGTCAATTACATTGATTGAATGATCGGGCAAAGGGTATAATGATTGCTGAATCTACAGGTCAGTGCATTGGATATATCAACTAATACAATTGAATAAATACACCAGTGGTGCCTGTATTGTTTGATGTCGTTTTATGTCTTACACGCAAAGAAACACTTCAAAGGAAACATTATTGCGCATAACAGTCGACAAAGACCTACAAAACCACTAGTATTTTTATATTTTTGTATTGGCAATCACGATTTACACATTTCTGATACTTTCAGAAGCACCATTCTGCAATTAAACAATTAACTTATTTAATCTACCCAGGATTTATATATTAGTACTCAAAACGCTAACAAAATTGGTCATCCAGCGTAGTTTTACATTTGAGAGTCGATTATTTTGAACAATCAAATCGAGGCTTTCTGTTTCCGTTTCGCGTTTTCACCTGAGGTATATTACATACTCCGTGGGTGAGTATGACATATCCCGCAGGTGAGTATGGCATATTCCGCATGTGAGTATCGGGTATTCACTGAAATCAATGTATCGCATATTCACTGCGGAATATGCCATACTCACCTTCGGAATATGTTATACACCATAGCTGGTGAGTATGGCATGTATCACAAATACCGCACAACCATGAATATATTCCATATTTCGCCTAACAGTTGAGATTTTCATCAATCTTATTATTCATGATGCAAACATTGAACACTTTACCATAGTTAACATGGCCTTGTAGACTACATTTACTATATGCCAATGGATGGGAAACGAGATGATATTTTGGAGGGCGAGTGCCCCAATGGTAGAATCTACAACAACGCCACCCTCGATGATGGCCAGGTTGACCAAGGAATATATTTAGATGGAATTGATCAATGGGTTGATCTTGGAAATCACAGACACGAATGTTTTGGTATATTTTATTTCATCAGTTATGGACCCCCGTGAATATGGTGGTGATTTGCATTTTTCTTTTTTTGACATTTAGTTACAGCAAAACACCTTATCAAAGTCAAAATTTAAAAAAGCAAACCGAACTCACATTTATGGGGGTACAGTCATGATAGTTAGCATGTGCAACTGTGACAACTACAGTGTCACAACATGGGAATTATTTTCTTGGTCGGAGTAATATATATCAATGTGCTCAAGGATGTCCCAGGGACTCAATTACGACACAATTCCTAATTCTTTCATAGGTGAATCGTGTTTCCATTGTCATTCGCGTAGTCATGCATGAAACTTTTTTGAGGCAGACTTTTCTTTATTTAAATTGTTAAATAAATCATATCTCTGGATAGAGGTCCATAAATAAAGTTTTATCATTGTTTAATTTCAGTTTATCCTTACTAAATTATCCTATTCATCTTCAAATAGATTCTGGCCACGCCTATGACTCTATTTTGATTTCAGGTGATTTAGAGCTTTGTCCAAATGGTTATACACTTTCTATGTGGCTTTACATCGGACCAAAGGTGGCCAATGAGATGTATTATTTCTCCAGCGGTGGACAGACGGGATCTTCGTTTGGAGTAGCCCTATTTTGGTTAGCGGGAAATTTAGGTTCGTGGTTTAGCACCAGGACTGAAATTTGGAAAGTGAGCTATCCTGGGGCGACACTGAGAGAGCAATGGCGGCACATTGTGCTCACGTGGAAACAAGATGAAGGGCTCAAGTTATGGATAGACTGTGTAAACGTTGAATCGGATACAATGTGTATGTAATCATTGCATATTAAACTTAACAATTATTTCTTAAACGTTGAATCGGATACAATGTGTATCCGGTATGTAATCGTTGCATATTTAACTTAACAAATATTTTTAATTCAAGTAGATTAGCAGCCCTCACTCTTTTCAATGAAGGTTACATAATTCGGAATTTAGAGCGCATGGTCTTTGAAGGATATCTTAAATCATAAACAAGTGATAAACTGAAATGAATTATTGGCGACGATGATACAGGATAGGAATCTTGGTGGACAAGATAGTTGATATATTATATTAACAAAATACTGCTGAAAAGAATGTTCTTATTTGAATGTTTTTAATTCAATTTTAGTTGTACTTTAGTTAAATGCAGTGCCACTGATATAAATAGTGGAGATTCTTCAAAAATAGATAAATAATTAGATAAAAATATACATCATTGCTAAAACATCTGGAATATCGACTCTTTGCCAAAAATTGCAAACGTTAGATTGGATGAAAGAATGTAAATATGATTTCCGATTTTAGCAGAGACACGGAATGTACCAAACACCCCATGGAACAACGTTGTGTTAGGGAGACCGAACAAAAACTTTGCAAAATTCGGAGAGGCTATCATCGATGAACTTATCTTCTGGGATAAGAAACTACCAGATGAGAGGATCGAGGACCTCTGCGTGGCCTATGACGCCGACCCAAATTCAACTCTTAGTTGCCCTACGATTTTGCCTTTTGTTTTGTAGATCGATCCTATGAAAACATTCAGGAAAGGGCGAGTTGTTTCTTGAAATGTTTTGGAAATATAATTACCACTTGCAAAACTAAAATTGTGGCATTTTGTTATTTACAATATTATAACTAAAAACTACAATAGTTTGGGCTAAAACGGTTTATTAAGTAAAACGTGAAACTAATATCTCAAATACAGGGTGGGCCAAAAAAACAATACCCAACTTTAAATCAGACTGAAAATAGCTATGTTCAATATGATACATTGATTTATATATCATTTTAAAGGTAATCCATTTTCGAACAATATGAAATCGATATTAAAGTTTTATTATGCTTATTTGGGAGGCCGGGTCGGTATTTATGGAGAAAATAGTAAATCTGCGGAATAATGTTAATTTTTTATTTATAGAATATCATTTTGTTAGGTGAATAAATGCTTGTATATTTGCATATTGTGTGACTAAACTTATTGTTTATGAATTTTAGTGTTGTTTATTATCAATAAGTACTCAAATGGGGTCTCTTAAAAGACATTAAACGTATATGTGACGAGAATTTTATTTTCCAACAAGATATAGCCCCGTACCATAGATCTCAGGAGACATTGGCATTCCTTTGCAAACAAGGTGTCAATTTGATTGATCTCGATGCTTGGCCACCCAACAGCCCCGATGCTACATGTAATGTGTTTGATTACCATACATGGAGCCATCTCGAGGAAATGGTACAATCAAAAGCATCCAATAAACAGCTTTGATGAGCTGAAACAGAATCCTAAAGTGCTGAAATGCCGTTGCAACAGAAATCTCTCAATAAGGCTATTGATAGATTGCGCTACCACTTGAAGCTTATTGTTGATGCATAGGGGAGGGGGTGGGGGTATATTGAGCAACTGTGAAAATTGTTTAAATAAATAAAGTGTAAAATGTTATTAAACAACACTGAAAAGACGTCATTTCCATTGTTCTTTCGGCAAAATCGCGTAGTAATCTACGGTGATCAGTCCATTTAAATTTCACGCTTTTGAACGTCATGGTGTATACATGCATTTCTAATCGATCATATCTCAGTCAATATTTATCATTATATTATAAATTTGATAATTAATGAAAGCTTATAACCAGGGCATTACGTATGTGAATTTATTATTTTGGTCAGATAAAATACCAACCAGTTACGGGTGCTAAAGTTTTGACATATTTTTCATTAAAAATGCAGAAATGTGTATCACTTTCGCGGGTTAAATAGGCTATTAAAACAAGTCGGGTTAAAAAATGTTTTTCACTCATCATTTAGCCCACGTCGAGCTCTTTCCAATGGTATAATTGTTTTTTTCTGAAACCCCTGAAGACAAATTTCTGCCAACTTTCTGTAACGACGAGTGAAAAATCATGGTTTTTCCCGCAAACCAATGACGTCGTATTTCTCGATTTTCATACCAAGATTAGATTTGATACGCGTATGATATTTGTTCACGGTCATATCTCGGTCAATATTCGTCATTGAATGATCATTTTTATAGTTAATGAAAGCTTATTACAAGGGCAATGCGCATATGGATAAGTTATTTTGACCCGATTAAATACCACCCAGCTACGGGTACAAACGTGTAGAACATTTTTTCACAGAAATTCACTGAAAATGCACAAATGTGTATCACATTCGCGCGTTAATTGGGCTATTAAATCTCGTTGAGTTAAAAAATGTTTTTCGCTCTACATTTAGCCCACAATGAGCTCTCTCCAATGGTACGATTGTTTTTTCTGAAACCTCTGAAGACAAATTTCTGCCAACTTTCTGTAACGACGAGTGAAAAATCATGGTTTTTACCGCAAACCAATGACGACGTCGTATTTCTCGATTTTTAAACCAAGATTAGATTTGATACGCGTATGTATTTGTTCATGACCATATCTCGGTCAATATGCATTAATGATTCAGTATGAATCTAATACAACATAAAAGAGTATCACAAGCACATCACATTGATGGACTTATTACATATGATCCGATGGAATGCAGCCAATAAAACCAGGTTACGTGTTACCGTTCTTCACGCCAAATGCGTAAATGTGACTCGTTTTAGCGCATTAATTGAAGCATGGTTGGACATCAGTAAGAATTCTTTTCCAACTTTGAAGTGAAAAATGAAAGTCAAAATACCCGGCTTTTAATTTTACGTTGTGAGGTCGGCGGCCGTCTCTATTTCTCGATTTGTCGAATGAGGGAATTCATTGTATAAATGTGCAATCATTGCTCGCTCTGTATTTAAATTGATTTTATATCAAGACCGGACACCGGATATCACGACGATGAATAAATTTTCGAAGGCATGTTTTATTCGAAAATGATCAGCTCACGTATACATATTCATTTATAGCATAATGAACCCTGTTTAGTCTCAGATGAGCTGTGAATGCCTTCTATGCCCGGCTTCAATTCAACAATTCTGCCGACGCCCCTAAGTCAACACGCTATTAAAATTCATCCAATAAAACCGCTATCAGGCTATGCAGATATAAATTTTCGAAAACACTATCTCGACAGATTGGTTTTAAAAAACATTGTACTGGTAATTTCAGCATTATGTTCCGAGGAGCCACTCACCTAATAGCGATAATTTGTAAATTGTGCATCCTCAGTCTGTCAGTCGCTTAGCGTATGGATCAGTGACGCTGACCGCATATTGCACCTTTTATAATTTGTAGCAGTTTGCACAACGTCGACGTGCAACTAGTTGGTGCAAGGAGGGTTGACTCCAAGAATTTCATTTTTGGAATATTTCGATAGGAAATAAGACCAAAATACACGATCCTAATGTTGAAGTGACCAAATGGCGGCTGTTGGAATTCGAATTTTGAAGCACATTCCCATATATGAGACAGAATATGGATATTGCACTCTGGGAGGCAATCTTCCTTGCCCTTAGGAAAATCAATAGTACATCGACTTTATTTATTTAATAATTGAAAGGAAGTGAAGTTAACGAAATATTCGAATACAATACATACTGCCGAAAAAGCACATTTATTTCGTGGGTATTTAAAGGACCGCGAGTTGTTTGTAGAATGAATCTAGGGAGCTTGTTCATGCATTCGACTTGTGTTTTTCATCTAAAAAACATCAATACACTTTAAAACACTATGTTACAATACTTGGGTGTTAATCCATAGATAATTCTTGAAAATGAGATATTTTTGGGGATTATATGGTGCAATCTTAAAGTCAATTAAATGTTTTAAAGTGTATCATTCTACAAACAACTCACGGTCCTTTACCCTACAAAACTCCCCTACCCTTCCGTGTTTTCCTGACGTTTTCACGAATCTTCCCTGTTCCACCTAACAAGACTATTTTCCCCCATTGCTATACCCGTATACTGGTATACTGCCCATAGATATGTGCACAGGAGTTTCACACGGAAAATGAACTTATTTTAGGAAATATTGTGGAAAAAATTATACGTAGTAAATAATTTCTCAACAATATAAGCTGACCGTTGAATGCAATTATTCATTTATTTCATTTCATCAATACTAGTAATCATAAAATCATGACGCTGACATGCCAGCATGCTGACATGGTTTTAATTCTAAAAATTAAGATAAAGTGCAGTTATATAGTACCAAATAATATTCATTCATAATACTGTAATATGCTAGGCTATGGAACAAATACTCAGTAATATGTCTTTTGTGGAGATCAATTCTGAAAAAGAGGGGTGGACCCCCAGAGCTTTAGCGATGACTGATATATTAGTCTCCTGCCTACCACCTACCATGAGTCTGGGTATCGACTTAGAAAATATTGAAAATTGTAATGTCTGATAAACCAACTCAATCACACATATTATTAAACTTCAATATCTTATCCTTCTATTCTGAGATTACAAAAATATCAATTTGTATCACAATTGATGAAGAATATTGGCATCAAAGACAAATCAATGGCAAATATTAAATGAATTATTTATACAAAAACTTTGAAACATATCCTCCAAAATATTGCGTACTTTCTTTGTATAGACATTGAATGGTATTTCTGGATAAGTGAATTGGTGTTTATCTGGGTAATCAAGGGATTATAGTCACTCAAAGTTACTGAGCATCCATTTTTGAGACTTCAATTGTGTTAGTGAAGGACGATTCTCGGTTTGGACTTTGGAGAACAGTCTCTTGGGCTAATAATTTTTTTAATGAAAAATATAGAAATATTACCCAAATTAAACTATGAATATTCAAAAGAGGACATTTAAATCTACAAGATGTAAAAATAACAAATTGGTCTGAAGGGAAAGAAGTTCATCAGTGTACTGCGCTAATATTTTTTTGCGAAAAATCTAGAAATATTACCCAAATTAAATTATGACTATTCAAAAGAGGACATTTAAATCTATATTATGTAAAAAAAATCAAATTTGTCTGAAGCAGGGATAATGCTCATTTAGATTGATGAACTTCGTTCTCCAAACCGAGAATCGTCCTTTACACATATTTCAGTCAAATTCATGCTGAGCACAACATTTTGGTTTCAATATTATAATCTCTATACATGACCCTGGTGATGAAGATTCAGAATCAGTCAAAAAAAACTAAACCGGAAAACTATGCTCATTGTGCAAAACTAAAAGTGAAGCAACTTTTTTTCTGATATTTCTTACATCAAATGGCAGCCATCTTGTTTTTCACCCTTCAAATTAAACTGGCGGGAAATTCAAAAATTTGAAAAATATTTTAATCCTAAAATACATTTCAAAAATATGATTTTCTTTTTAATTCTTCATGGGTCTTAAGTTATTTCTCCTTTGTATGTCATACATGTTGCCATTGGTGTTTTTTCTATGATAATGACCCTCTTTATTTGTTCAGATACTTATTCTGACTCTCAGCAGGGGGTTAATTTTGCATCAAAACTCGTGAAAATGTAAATATACTTATCAAATATAACTAGGACAGTAATAAAAACCATATTTCACATACATTTGACTGAGGGACCAAAAGGGCATATATCC